CGGCCTTGCGAGGGGGGGCGGCAGCGGGCTTAAGGCAGACTCAGGGAAGAGCTATCGTGTCTACGGCCAGACCGCCCTGAACGTACCCGATCTCGTCTGATCTCGGAAGTTAAGCAGGGCTGGGCCCGGTTAGTACTTGGATGGGAGACCGCCTGGGAATACTGGGTGCTGTAGGCTTCTCTATTTATTTATTTTTCCCCCCCCGTTGTTTGCTCCATTCCAGCTACGGCTCCTCCGTGTGACTCGTGTTTCTTGGGGCTTGTTACGGACAGGAATGTGCCTCCCTTTCCTGCCTCCAGCTAAGCTGAAGTGCACTGTAGGCAGCTTAAAGGGGCGCTGCTCCAAGGCAGGTTCCTCCCTATGGCATGTCCCCAGCTACCGGTCCTTGGGCAACTGCTGCCACCTTAGTCATGGGGCACGTGCCCACCCAGCGAGCAGTCAGTGACTGGGGGGGGGGCAGAAGTGGCACTCCCACTCTCTGGCCAGCACCCACAGCGGGGGCACCGGTGCTCCCGCCTGACTGCCGCCTAAGCAGGAAGCATGGTGTGTCAGGGGGTGCACCAGTGCTCTCAGGGGGTGCACATGCATCCCCATGCAGCCCCTGTGCGTCGCCACTGTACTGCCCCATTGCCATGGGGTTGCTCTTCATCCAGGTTGCAGCATCCCAGTGCAGGCAGTGCCCCTTCCCCTCCGGACACACTGTCCTGTCTCAGCCCCCCCCCCCCCAACCTCCATCCAAGGTTCCCCCAAGTTCTCCCCAACCCTGCTGCCCAGGGGGCAGTTCTGGCACCAACCCACTCCCCCTTCTGCCCTCCCCTTCAATCCCCATGCACCCTGGTGCAATCAGGCAGCAGAGCACATGTCAGCTTGCCAGGTGGCAGGGCACAGATGGGTCCAGGAGTAGGATTTAGGGCTGGGTGGGGAACAAGGTAGGGGGCTGGATTGGGTCCCCCTGAGCTGGGGCTTCCAGCAGAGGCTTTATTTTATTTTTTTGTGAAATTTTTTCATATTGCAGTTCAGTTGAGCCAAATCAGTTCCAAATCCTTTGGATTGAGAAACATTCCGTTGTTTAAACCCTGTATCTGATCCTACAACCAGCAAGTATCCTCCACCCCAGACTTTTCAGCCTGGGGCTTCAGATACTCTCAGATCCATTGGTGAGCATCCTACATGCAGGCCCAAGCCCAGAGGCCTGGAGTTCAGATGCCCCTGAATCTCACTTGCCCTTAACCAAAGGCTACAGGAGCAAGCTAGGGATGAGTCTCCCATTTCCATAGAGGAGGCATGTAGCTGAGATCCTTCCACTGGAAGCTGGACAATGGAAAGCTAATGACAAGGCTCTTATAGGGCATCCTATCCACAGTGCATTGGCAGGGATGCACCCTCCATTACACACTGCCATTTAAATCCATCTTGGTACGGATAACAGACCAGTGCAGCAACAACTACACTTGATTTCAGCTCACAAGAGATGGAGAAGCAGAGATTTTTTTTAAATATTATATATTTCATGTTCCAGGTCAAATGAGCCAAATCAGTTCCAAATCATATTGTTTGAGCAGAACTCAGTTGTTTCAGAAACCTTATCAACTAAGCAGGCAGAACACAATTGTTTGCAGCAGCTGGCTCATGGCATGCTGGCACACCTTCCTTTGTGTTAACTACTTTTTATAACTTTTCCATACCAAATTATCCAAATCCCTGGCATTGGGCCAAACATTCCTTATAAGGAAACTGTTGTGCCTTGCTTACCTAGTGCCCCCATCACAGCACTCACATCTCGCAGAGCCGTAGAACGTGCGTTGTTCAATTTTATCGCTTAAGTCCAGGAAGACTTAGACTAGGGCTAAGAGCCAAAGCACAATTTGATTTGCCAGCTACAAGGTTGAGGCTGTGGGAGTCCCATTTTTGTTGGGCCTGGGTGCCTGCTTTACTCTGTGGAAGCTACAGAGGAAAAGAGAACACATACCAACTAACCAGGTGGCAGGGCACCAGCTGGACTGGGATGCTGGAGCACCACCAGCCAGACGTGTTTTTTTCCCCACCGGACCTGGGCTGGGCCCATGAGCTGGGGCCCTGACTGTCTGCTTTCCATCCTGCCCAGACCCAAGCAGCTGGAGCCCCCAGGAAGAAGAGGGAAAGTCAGGAGTTTCAAGAGAGGCAGCAGCTGGGCTGGGGCCAAGCAGAGATGGGCGAATGGAGTCTAGTCCATGCTCCCAGCCTGTGGTGCATGGGTCTTGCAGTGGGAGGAGGCCAGAGCAGCCTTGTGGGAGTGTGTCAGGGCTGTGTCCATAGGGTACCTGCGAGCCTGGCTTTGGGGGAGGCAGGGCCAGAGATGCCACTGGAAGGACCAATGTGCACAGGGAAACAAAGCACATAGACCGGATGAAAATACAAGCAAAGGAAAACAGCACTGTCTACAGCCACTCTGCCCTGCACATACCTGTTCCCATATGCTTTCAGAAGTTAAGCAGGGTTGGTTCTGGTTAGTGCTTGGCTAGGAGACTGTCTGGGAATCCCAGGTGCTGCAGGCTTTTCTTCCTGTTCTTTTTTTTTTTTTTTTTTTTTT